ACTTTACTATTACCTCCTGATAAGCCTGTGTTACAGATGTACTTTATTATGACCTCCTGATCAGCCTGTGTTACAGATTTACTTTATTATGTCCTCCTGATAAGCCTGTGTTACAGATTTTCTTTATTATGACCTCCTGATAAGCCTGTGTTACAGATTTACTTTACTATGATCTCCTGATAAGCCTGTGCTACAGATTTACTTTAGTATGACCTCCTGATAGGCCTGTGCTACAGATGTGCTTTATTATGACCCCCTGATAAGCCTGTGTTACAGATTTACTTTACTATGACCTCCTGATAGGCCTGTGCTACAGATGTGCTTTATTATGACCCCCTGATAAGCCTGTGGTACAGATGTACTGTATTATGACCTCTTGATAAGCCTGTGTTACAGATGTACTTTAGTATGACCGCCTGATAAGCCTGTGTTGCAGATTTACTTTACTATGACCTCCTGATAGGCCTGTGCTACAGATGTGCTTTATTATGACCCCCTGATAAGCCTGTGTTGCAGATTTACTTTACTATGACCTCCTGATAGGCCTGTGCTACAGATTTCCTTTATTATGACCTCTTGATAAGCCTGTGCTACATATTTACTTTATTATGACCTCGTGATAAGCCTGTGCTCCAGATGTACTTTAGTATGACCTACTATGATCTCCTGACCAGCCTGTGCTACAGAGGTACTTTATTATGACCTCCTGATAAGCCTGTGCTACAGATGTACTGTATTATGACCTCCTGATAAGCCTGTGCTACAGATTTACTTAATTATGACCTCCTGATAAGCCTGTGCTACAGATTTACATTATTATGACCTCCTGATAAGCCTCTGCTACAGATTTACATTATTATGACCTCCTGACAAGTCTGTGCTACAGATATATAATAATAATAATAATATACAGCATTTATATAGCGCCCTATATAATTTGTAAAATTACTCTAAGGCGCTTTACAACATATGGATAATAATAATGGTTATAATTGTGAAAACAAACAACAAAGGCTTGCAATCACTTTCATGCATTTAACAAGCAATGTGCACATAATTAAACAAATAAAAGGGTGATATTTACATGACGTCTTTGCAAAGATTCTAAAATGCAGACGTGAAGAGGTGAGTTTTTATGTCCCTCTTGAACTTGGCCAGGGTATTCGACTTCCTAATAGCAGATGGTAAGCTATTCCACAACGTAGCCGAAACCCTCTAATATACTTTAATATGACATGACCTCCTGATAAGCCTGTGCTACAGGTGTACTTAATTATGACCTCCTGATAAGCCTGTGCTACAGATTTACTTTATTATGACCTCCTGATAAGCCTGTGCTACAGATATACTTTATTATGACCTCCTGATAAGCCTGTGCTACAGATTTACTTTAGTCTGACCTCCTGATAAGCCTGTGCTACATATGTAATTTATTATGACCTCCTGATAAGCTTGTGCTACAGATTTACATTATTTTTCCACCAGAGGTTCTGTAGATGATGGTGTGTTGGTGTTTGCTCTGGGTCAGTCCCCCTGGTTATTGAAACAAAGTGGCTGTTATTAGCTTCAGTGCGTTTGGTTCACAACCTTGGAACCAATGACTGTATATGACTGCTCAGTGTGTCGGTGACGTTTACTGTAGCACCTCACTCTAGGCCAGTAACTGGTCATATCTGCTTAATACTGCCCAACAATTTAACCGACCTCAGAACCAATAACGGTCATGTGTGGTCAGTGTCCCACAGGAATATATATTGCAGGTCCATTATGTAGATTAATTCATTGTTTGTCACACAGGCTTTAATGTGCCAATTTAGTGTCATTCGCAAATTGATTGTTTTTGCGACCAACAACCCTCAATAAATTTGTCAAACATCAGTGTCTAATTATTACAAACATCCCAATCCTGCCATTGAACTTCAGGCTGACAAAAATGTACAAACATCACAATCCTGTCATTGAACTTCAGGCTGACAAAAATGTACAAACATCCCAATCCTGCCATTGAACTTCAGGCTGACAAAATTGTATAAACATCCCAATCATGTCATTGTACTTCAGGCTGACAAAAATGTATAAACATCACAATCCTGTCATTGTACTTCAGGCTGACAAAAAAGTATAAACATCACAATCCTGTCATTGTACTTAAGGCTGACAAAAATGTACAAACATCACAATTCTGTCATTGAACTTCAGGCTGACAAAAATGTACAAACATCCCAATCCTACCATTGAACTTCAGGCTGACAAAATTGTATAAAAATCCCAATCATGTCATTGTACTTCAGGCTGACAAAAATGTATAAACATCACAATCCTGTCATTGTACTTAAGGCTGACAAAAATGTACAAACATCACAATCCTGTCATTGTACTTCAGGCTGACAAAAATGTACAAACATCACAATCCTGTCATTGTACTTCAGGCTGACAAAAATGTATAAACATCACAATCCTGTCATTGTACTTCAGGCTGACAAAAATGTA